TCGTTCAAAAATAATCATCAATCGGATGAATTCATGTAACATAATAATCCATCTATAGGAGACTATGTAATAATCATCAAACAAATGAATTCAAAACAAAAAAATCAAACAATTTAACTCACTTATCGGAAGTTCAAGTAACTTTCGTGAAACAAATAAATTCAAACAATTTAATTCATCAACTCTATTGCTGGTCTCCTATGGATGAATTATCATGTTACATGAATTTATACGATTGATGATTATTTTTGAGCGAAATGAAATGTTTGACGAATATTTTTCATCAAACATTTTGAATCATTCATAATAATAGGTTCAGTATTATTCAACAATCAAAAAAATACCTATTACCAGAATTGTCTAATCTAAAATATTGATGAATTCAATTGTTTTCTATTTTTATGAATGTTGGTAATTTCAACAATCACTAGAATTCAGGATTTTCTATTCTCAACAAACAATTTAATTATTTCACCTATTCAGTTGCACAATTTCGAAGGTATGTATTTTTTTGATTGATGAATTTGAACGATTGATGAAATTTTAGCAACAATGTTTCAAATAAATGAACGATTTGAAACGATTCTCGTAAAAAAATCATCAAACAATCTTATTCATGACTGACATATTAACGACAAAGAATAACATTATTTGTTGACAACATTATAAGTGCCAAGCAATTAAATTCAACAATCATCTTTATTCACATTACACATTCTTTACATTGATGAATACAAATGTTACAGAACTTTTATGATTGATGCTAATTTGATGTTGGTCTCTGGAATTATAGGTATTTAAATGTTTGGTGGAAGATTTGCATGAAACAATTAAATTCACGAAACATGTAAAATGGACAAACAAATAAATCAACATTTCTGTACCCTGAATCATTATTATTTCCTTCAATAATTTATTCAATCACTTTTATTGAAGAAAAAAAATTGTTCTCAACTCAAAGAAAGTTGCCAAAAAGGAGTATTCATATTTATAATTCGAACAATAAAGATTCATTTTGATTGTTACATGAAAATGTCCATGAAATATATTAATTCATGTGACACTTTTATTCGGTCTATAATATTAATATAGAAATTATTTAAATGGAGTAATTAAATTGATTGCTGATTTCAAATGTTTATTGATAATTTCATGGGCCTTTCTTCATTATAAAGGATAGCGTTTCATATCAATATTGACCAAACTATTAATTATATAATTTAATTTCAGCAAAACAGTAATCATCTGAATTGAAATGATTGTTATTTTCATGATTGATGAAGACAAAATCGTTGACAATACATTTCTTTGTAACAAAATTTTGCCCAATCATTTTGAAAGTATTATGATTTATTCATGTAATAAAAAGTAAAACGGCGTTCCATAGATTCATTCTGATGACAAGTACCTATAGTCATCATCAATTTATTCTAAACTGACAGATTTTGTTTCGCTATCCATGGTTACATCGTTGAAAACATGAACGCTGATAGACCAATCAGAATTGGAAGACAGCTAATGTTTTCGCGATAAGCACACGTAGTCTCTGGTCAAAAATCTGCCATTTTCTAATACTCAGCATGTATGAATTCATGAAGAATTCAAATGGAGCATGGGAAAGTGACAGAGATCCCGTTCATGTCGGTCCTTCGCCAAAGCTCTGTAGGAAGAAACTTCACTTCCAGCTCGTTTCCTCCTCTAACCAAGGAAGATGGAACACTAGCCCAACTGCCCAGAAGAAATCGAACCATTTTGCGCACTTATTTGCTGGAAATTCCACTCTGGATTCATCGGGAAAACAACCTCCAAACATAACGCCAATTGACAGTCATATGCCTGAGATCACCTTCCGCCAACGTACTATAAGGAAGATTTTATTGGGTCTCAACACCAACAAAGCTTGTGGCTCCGACGGAATCTCACCGATTGTCCTCAAGAAATGTGCTCCCGAACTCTGCAAGTTGTTCAACTACTCTTATTCAATCTAATTTATCGACCCCGGCGCCTCCACCATAATGTCACGACCCATGGCTACAGGGTGGTGACTCGGGGTGAACTCGCTTGGGAGGCCGAGAAATCAAAACAGTTGTTCGTTATAAAGCTACAGTTTATTGAAAGAAATTAGTTTCATTAGTGATTTTAACAAACGAGATTCAATGCAAACGTAAATACATCAGACTTCGCAATGAAGAGAAACATTTAATAGTTTGACAACATAACGATTGTGACAGTAGTACTTACAAAATAATCTCTAGCAGATGCAAGGGATGAACCATAGTGAAGGCTAGCTGATCAGATCCAAACTGATCCCTTGCCTTATCGGCTGTTCGATATTTATTTAGAATATTTTGATATAGTCAGCGTTTTACTACATATGCGGGTATTTCATTCCGGTTGAATGAGCTGCCAACGTGAGTGAAACATTATACTCGTTTCCTTTAATCGAATGTTATACGATAAAATGAATAATGCACTTTTATTAATGAATCTTGAATCAATATAATTTTGAATAGTAGCTATGAATATTTTTGGTTCCTATCGTGACAATATTCCCGTCCAACTGGAAAATTGCAGGAGTACAACCAGTTCCTGAAAAAGGCAAAAAGACCCTACCTAGCAACTACAGATACCGATCGCACTGCTATCTATCATTTCAAAGATTATGGAGAAAGCTATCAACATCGAGCTCATGAAATACCTGGAACATTCAGGTATTATCAACGATAGGCAATATGGCTTCCGTCATCAGAGATCAACTGGTGACCTGCTCGCTTACGTCTCACATATATGGCAGCAATTTATTGAAAAATATGGTGAAGCCTTAGCCGTAGCACTTGATATATCCAAGACATTCGATCGAGTCTGGCACCACGGACTCCTCGACAAGCTTCCATCTTATGGCTTGCCTCCCCAGCTATGTTCTCTGCTAGCTAGTTTTCTCCCAAACAGGTCTCTCCATGTAGTGGTCGATGGAGTTTCATCTGACTCTCTTATCATAAATGTTCCGCGATGATCAATTCTAGCACCAACACTATTTCTACTCCATATCAACGATTCGTTGGAAGCAACTTCATGTCCAGGAGCTATTTTACTTCCAGTCAGCTGCTTATGATCTATAAGGCAAAGATCCGACCTGTCCTGGAAAACTGTTTCCATATTTGGAGTGCAGCACCCAAACATACCCTGAAACTCCAAAAGAAAAAACAAAAGACTCAAAGTCAGTCGACCACACATTTATATAACACTATATCGTCAAAAACATGTTACCGGTTTCGGCACAACGGCCATCATCAGACAAAAAGTACCTGTAAATATAAATTAGATAATACAGTATGAAGAAAGCAGGAATACAAAACCTACCGACAAAATTATGGGCACACTATAACATCATTAAAAATTAAGTTGAAAAAGAAGGAAAATCATGTTGTATGGCAGGAGATTCATCACCGGGTTTTCAGGCTCAGACACAAATGACTATTTTTAAATTTACTGAAGAGCCAGAAAAAACTGGCTCTGATAAGGTTGAACATCTTATCCGAAAAATTGTTTTTTATAAACTTGAATCATGCTAAGCTAAAAGCAATAACAGAATAAGACAAATTTGATGGTCGACAAAGACTTTGACATATGACAGTTGTACATGGAACAACAAACAAGAGTGAAGGTTATAGACTAACAACAGAACTAGAGAAGTAAGTACCTAAGAAGGAAGAAAAAAGGGGAAGAAAAAGGAGAAAGAAGGCAAGGTGAAGAGAAACCATGGAGAAGAGGAGAAAATGGAAAGGTCACAGAAACAAGAAGAGGAGTAAGTGTAGCGTCTAGTGGAGAAACAAGAGACAGAAACAGAAGAAGAAGAGGAGAAAATTGTTTCTTCGGAAACTCCAGTGGCGGGGTAGCAACTACCAGAATGGAAAGAGCAGAAATTATGAAAAATGTAATGTTCTGAAAATACGATTACGTTCAAAATTAGTTTGATCATTGAGACATGAAACATTTTGATTATTAATGCATTTTTGAATTTCCAAAATTTCAAGAAGATTTAACCTCTAGGACCCTTATCGCAGATGTGAAGAATTTCTGAATTAAAAAAAAACAATTTTTTGGATAAGATGTTCAACCTTATCAGAGCCAGTTTTTTCTGGCTCTTCAGTAAATTTAAAAATAGTCATTTGTGTCTGAGCCTGAAAACCCGGTGATGAATCTCCTGCCATACAACATGATTTTCCTTCTTTTTCAACTTAATTTTTAATGATGTTATAGTGTGCCCATAATTTTGTCGGTAGGTTTTGTATTCCTTCTTTCTTCATACTGTATTATCTAATTTATATTTACAGGTACTTTTTGTCTGATGATGGCCGTTGTGCCGAAACCGGTAACATGTTTTTGACGATATAGTGTTATATAAATGTGTGGTCGACTGACTTTGAGTCTTTTGTTTTTTCTTTTGAAATTATATTGGACCACTTTGAGATATGGATGATTTTCACGATTTATACCCTGAAACTGTTGGATTCTGTCCAAAAAAGGGTAATTCGTCTCGTGGGTGATGTCTCGCTCACAAACTCACTCACTGCTCTGGAACACCGTAGAAAAGTGGCTCTATTTTATAGATATTTTCATGGACGATGCTCTTCTGAAATATCAACAATAGTTCCTCCCTTGGCAGTCCCCGCGAGATTAAGCCGTCGAGTTGAGGCTTCGCACCCCTTCGTGGTCACTTTGGAGACCTGCAAAACATCTCTTTCCAAAGACTCGTTCATCCAACGAACAGTGAGGCTCTGGAACACATTGCTAAGGGAGGTGTTCCTCGAGGCATATAACCTCCAGAAATTTAAGAAGAACACCAATTCCTATCTTATTTCCCTTGGTTCTCACGATGTTCTCTGAACATTACAGGATATCCCTTTTCGTGGGAACCAGAATATAAAAAAAAGATGACAGTGTGACAGTAAATTGTATGCTGGCATGTTACATTATGATAGTGATATTATGAAAAATAATGAAGATCAGAATATTCATTTATTTGTCATGATAGTAACGAAATTAAAAAGCATATACAATATAAAAAAATATGAATAATCATTAGCTGAATTCATGATACTTTTATTTTGAACCATGTGTCGGTTGTCTCAGCCCGAGATGCCCTTGTCTGAATTCTTCTTCGGTGAGGTCAGCGAATTGATTTATACCTTGCGTGTAGGAAGTTTCGCCTCTAGCGAATTTCTCGTTATGGGCCCTTATGGCACGCAAATTCTTCGTGAAAATTTCTAGCCTTCGTGCTTCTTCCTCTGGGGTGTCATAGGATTTTTGATGCGTCAACTATAAGAAAAAATGTTCTCAATCATCCTTCAAAGGCAATCGCGTATCCAGATTAGTGGTTAGGGGGGGGGATATTTCGACAAGGCTTGGATCCGCCACTGAGGCAATGTGTGTATATAGTCATCCTTCTCTCTCTTTCAACCAATCTTCCGTGAGAAAATCAACGTGAAGAATTAATTGGTCTTGCTTTTTTTGGGGTTCTTTTAATCATATTTTCACAATTGTTTTAATCCTAAGGCGAGTCCTAAGGTACCTATGTAAGTCAATGTATAATAAAGCCATAGGCATAGGCGAATCTGCTCCCGTTCTCAACATAAAAATGCAAAATATTTTTCTTTGGAAATTGTGCTCTGCTTATTATATTAGTTTGACATTTCTCAGTAGCATACTGATGTTGGACTATGAATGAGTGATTTTAGTATACAAATGAGTTACATTTTACCATTTTCATGTTCAGTTTTCAGTAATAGTGAATACCGTTCTATATATATCAACTGAAATGTTGGGTAAATCATCTGATTTTATCATCTGATATATTGTATAGAAACGAGAGGAAATCCCAAAAAATCAAGTAAAATGAACCATCAATATGAATTTTCAAGAGACACACATCATTTTTTTTCAAAGGGAATCCTGAGTTGATAGACAATTATAGGCCCATAATAAGTTTACTACCTGGTTTCTCAAAACTGTTTGAACTGGTAGTGAGTAAACGGTTAGTAAATTTCATGACTAGTTGCAAATTATTTGATGACAATCAGCATGGTTACATGAAAAATAAATCTACCCACACAGCTATATTCCAATTTACTGAAGCATTATTGAAACATCTAGAAAATGGAGAATTGGCAATTGGAATATTTCTGGATCTGTCAAAAGTCTATGATTTTCTGGACAAGGAGCTATGTATCGCAAAGTTAGAGAACTATGGTATTAGAGGCAACAGCCTAAAATGGTTCTGTTCATATATGTACAATAGGCAACAGAAAATCGTTATTACGAAGGACGGAAAAAAGTACAGCTCTGACATGAGACCCAATGAATTTGGTATTGCATCTTGTTCATCAATGACTTGAGTCCTTTGGTGCCCAATTTGAATGGGGTTGAAATTGTAAAATACGCTGATGACACAAACTTGATTATAGGCAGTAAAAATAAAGATCAATTAGTTAGAAACTGTGAGGAATCTATGAATGCAATAAATGAGTGGTTTCTTGGGAATAGGCTCATTTTCAACAAAGAAAAAACAAACATAATCTGTTTCAGAACCAAACTTTCCAGAGCAGAGAGGCTCACAGATATAAACCTGACTGAAGAGACAATAATGGTTTCAGAACATACAAAATTCTTGGGTGTCCATATCAATGAATTTCTGGATTGGACACAACACATACAGATGCTGTTGAAAAAACTCAACAAAACGATTTTTGGTATAAGAACTATCAGTAGATATATGAATGAAAACACTATTATAGAACACTCTACTTCGCAAATTTTGAATCTGCGATGAGATTTGGGATCATCTTTTGGGGAAGTGATAGTTCAATTCAAAATGTTTTTGTATGCCAAAAAAGAATACTTCGTATTATGAAAAAAATGAACTATTACCAAAGCTGCAGAATAGTTTTTAGATCTGAAGGAATAATGGCAGTCTTGGCCTTGTACATAAATATATGAATTTTTGATGTTTTACTTCAAAAATAAAGAAAGATTTCACTCTGTTAACCAAACTGCATACAACACGAGAACAATGAATGTGAAATATCCTGTACATAGGTTAACTTTAACAGAAAAATGTCCTCAATACACATGTGTAAAATTCTTCAATGCCTCACCTAACTGGATGAAGGCTATAAAATGTGAAAAAATCTTCAAGTCTGAAATCAAAACGGAACTAATTCAACTGGATCCTTATAACCTTGTAGACTTCTGTATATGATTTCCCCTACCTTTTTTGTTGACGTAATTTCTTTTGTCTGATTTACCTGAACCACTTGTTTCTGTATCTCTCACAATATGAAATAAATATTATTATTATTGTTATTATTATTTTGGATAGCGCCGTGCTCTTTTATTAAAATAAATAGGGGTCGATTTTTATGAAATCATATTAGGATTTTTTTTTTGCTTGGAAACTAACTTCATATTATTGTTCCTCATGCTCTCGAACCACATGCAAAAATCACTTCATTCCGAATTAAAAGGGTAGGCTCAATTTTTTTTTCATTTCCTGCCCCCAAAAAATAGTAAGATCGAATCAACTGCAAATTTTGTATGAATATTACCATATTACCATTAGATATCATGAGCCAATGTATAGAACTTGAGAGCTACTCGAATTATAAATATACCTATCTAAAGACGATTTAAAATATTACCTTGAAGTTTTTCCATTCATCCTCGTCGGACAAATTAGCAGCGAGGACAACAACAGACGCCATCAAAACAATTAAAAATTTCACAAACATCTTTCTGGTTCTGGTGTCTATACAGCAATGACGATTATATTGTTTACTAACATGTGAACATAGAGGTATTATTCATATAACAGGAAACAGACAAATCATGTGACCTGACTTTATAGATTATCTCATATCTTCGTCACGTTCCCATATACAGGGTGTTATGAAATTCGATCGATAACGCTCCACAGGTGAAGACTCTCGTGTTTTGATGATGAATTCGGTATCTAGGAATATTAAGGTCTGTAAGTGGTTAATTCGGGAGATACCGAGTGTTGAAGTGGAAAAATAGTCATCGTGAAACCGGTCGAATTTATCCTCATTGATTTGGGTAGATATGTGATTTTTTCTTCAAAACCCCCAATTTTTTACTTGGGAGATTTGGATACTTCTTCTCTCATACGTATTCTCTATATACGCCATGCGCACTGATGCATTTTTGCCTCTTGGACATTTTGAATTTTTCGAATTTACCGGTAAATTTTATTGAAGAAATAGATAACTTTTTCCACCACTACCTAAAGAACCTATCATTAGTATCATTATGTAATCCTTTCCTTTCTACCAAGGTAGTTTTCGTCATTTTATGAACTACTAGTTCATATAAAGACGTAGCAACCTCTGTTATAATCCGAATTCACTGTTCTGATTCGAAAATTGCAGGAATGGCACTCTAATTTAGTATAGGGTGTAAATTTGAAAACTTTCAATGCGAATATCTCGCGAAATAAAAAAGTTAGAAAAACGCCGCTTGGCAAAAATGCTAAAGAGTTAAGGGGAACTAGAACCACCATATTTCAGTGAAGGGATGAGTCACCCTGTCAGCGCAACACACCCCAACTTTGAAATGTCAAATGGCACTACCTCTTTTGTAATACCTCAAATGAACGGTCTCAGTCAGTAGTATTCACCTGTACAAGACTTTTTTTCCACCCACTACAGGGTGTACGAAAAACTTTAATTCGTGGGTCTAAATTTGAAAACTTTCAATGCGAATATCTCGCTAAATAAAACAGTTAGGAAAACGCCGTTTGGCACAAATGCTACAGAGTTAGGGGGAACTAGAACCACCATACTTCAGTAAAGGGATGAGTCACCCCGTCGGCGCGACACACTCCATCTTTGAAATGTCAAATGACACTACCTCTTTTTTGATACCTCAAATGAACGGTCTCAGTCAGTAGTATTCACCTGTACAAGACTTATTTTCCACCCACTACAGGGTGAACGGAAAACATAAAGTCGAATAAAATGAAATGCAGAATGCCGATATATTCCCAGAGATGTGTTCCAAAATGTTAGAATGGCATTTGAACATCGATTATATACTATTGTTTACAACAGAATGGAATGCATTTTGAACATCTGATCAAATAAAATATCCTTTTAACACAATTCATTTTATTTTATTCGACTTTATATTTTTCGTACACCCTGTAGTGGGTGGAAAAAAAGTCTTGTACAGGTGAATACTACTGACTGAGACTGTTCATTTGAGGCATCACAAAAAAGGTAGTGCCATTTGACATTTCAAAGTTGGGGTTTGTCGCGCCGACGTGGTGACTCATCCCTTGACCGAAATATGGTGGTTATAGTTCCTCTTAACTCTTCAGCATTTTTGCCAAACGGCGTTTTTCTAACTTTTTTCTTTCGCGAGATATTCGCATCGGAAGTTTTCAAATTTACACCCTGTATAGGTATTTATCGATAACGCTTTGCTATGGTCATGGTTACTAGATTTTGATTTGAAGTGCATTCATATAACTGATAATAGGTCAATATATCAGTTTCATCAAAAGTTGAGGTAGGAATATGAAAGCCGTTTTGACTAATCATGAATCGACACAAAAAAATGCTAAACTTAAAAAATCTCGATTTTGAACACCCTATAGCTGTTATCATTGGCGCTAGATCTCAAGTGTGATGCATTGATGAAATCAGCTCTTTATGGAGAATCTAAAAATGCATTGAAATATAGGGGGTCCATTTGAAATAACAAAGTTGTTGCTACTTTTTGTTAGAAGCGGCAACGCCGCAGAGCTGAAAATAATTTAGAACGATGTCCCCCTCGAAAAAATGTAGTTGACAGCTGAAATGAGATTTTTAGTTTCAACTATATTTGGTTTTAAGAATGATTCATTTATGTGTGTAAATTGCATAATTATCATTGGCAATATCGACAGTTTCATCTACCTAGATGAAATTTCTTGATCATCTTATTACTCTGTACCCAGGTTTGAAAAGTGTTACTTCTTATTTGAGGAAATCCTCAATTAATAGTGATTTCTCAGGTTAGTGGTGGAAAAAAATCTGATTTAATTTACTATATTTGTTGAGAAAAAAACGTTGTTTATTTCTCAACTGCCACATCCTGTATTTCTGAGCACGTGGAGACCATTTGTCCCTACCTCAATCGTTATAAAACCACGATCGAAGTTCATTAATACCTGTGTAGTTTCGTCGGTGGAATTCCGCACAACCCTGTATAAATGTTATCTGTTAAATAAATCTTATCTCAAACATTCTACAAATACATATTAATTAATTGTTTGATATTGTTGTACGTGCATGTAGGATAGGAATACGAAGTTATCTGTTAGTAGAGGCAGGGGCGTCCGCAGAAATAATCTCAAGGAGGGGCAAGTCACAATAAATAATGTACATTATTCAGAACATATAAAAAAAACTGTTTTTGCACGACCTATAAGCGATTTTACACCGACAAAAGCGGGAATACAGGGTATACAGAGTAGGCACTCTCTAGGCTAAAAAATTTTCCGGGATTTTTCTGGCAATAAATCTACCACTATGTTTGCAGCAGCTTCTCCAATAGTTTTTCCACAAATTCCTGCAATATTTATTGAAAAAACTTCAGAAAGCAATCAAGAAAATATGCTACCACACTTTTTCGATGTTCACAAAAAGCAATATGGCTACTCTTCTTAATCGGTAGTCATGATAATCAAACTTCATTTTGTGATTATTGTGTTCAGATTTTCATTATTATATTGACAATAATTGATTTTATCATAAGATTCTTTCAATTAAAGTCGTCGAGTCGTGTAAAAATGGTATATAAACCTCGGAAGTGAGTTCTTTCTTCCCTCAGTGCATTGTAGCACTCTCTCGATATATAATCTACAATTATTCTACATAAAACATGGAATAAAAAAAAGAATATTAATTGAATTGACATCACATAGGTATTCTGTTTACAGCCAAAATTACAATAAAAAATTGCACGTGATGATGATCATAATCTTGTTCAAACAAAAATGGCATTCTCATAGAGTCTTGAGCAAATTTATCAATAACTTCGTTGATAAAATTAACTCTTTATACAGGGTGTTTCAAAAAAACCTGACTCCCTTGCTAGGATAGGTAGAACACTGCAAAATAAGTTGGGTTTGTTCAGTGAAAACATTTCGTAACGGTATCCGTTTTCATGATACAAGGTGTTGAAAAAATGATTTTTTTACACATTTTTCACCATAATGTCGATACTACTGGCAACATTGTGATGAAATTTTGTACGGATGTTCCTTGAAATCTGACACATCGCATGAATTTGTTTTTATATCTGACTCTCATAGAGGGCGGTAGTTACACGGTTCGTACCGAGTAGTTTAGAACATAACTTTTTTTGAGGTTAGATTTTTCAATCCAAATATGATATGAACTCGAACCTCATTCAATTTTACACCAAAAAGAAACTCTTGGTAAAACTCGATACTATGTTCCGTTTTCGGAATATTTCGATTTGAAAATATTGGGGTAGTATTGATGCTGGTATAAATTGAATTTTATTGAGTTCAATTACCTATTTATTCAGTTTCAAAAACAATAAAATCATTCTTGTGCTGAAGTTATTGATGGAACAAAGAATCTTAAGTAGAAAATTAAGAGATATTTGACTAGAAACATGAAATATTGAATCAGTTAGAGTAAGTGTTCAAAATGTCCTACGTTTCGACGAATACACGATTCCATATTCTTTTCTTAAGAATGTATTATTCTTCTGAACAGTTGAGGATCAGCTGTTAGGTCATTCAAGTGATGTTCAATTATGTCTTACAACTCTTGATGTGAATTTACCTATGTAGCTTAGACTTTCTGCTCAAGATTCAACAAAACTGTGTAATCCATGTTCTTAGTCAAATCTGTTTCGATGTTATTCTTGTGATTCATTGTTGAATCAATAAGTTTAGCATCAGAAATGTATTGTTGTTTTCGGTTTTCAATAAATAGGTGATAATTTTTCATAATACTCGCTCTATTACATAGCTTTATACCAGCAACAGTTACCACTTCATCATTTTCAAATCGAAATATTCCGAAAACGGAACACAGTATCAAGTTTTACCAAGAGTACCTTTTTGGTGTGAAATTGAATGATGTTCAAGTTCACATCAAATATGGATTGAAAAATCTAACCTCAAAAAAGTTATGTTCAAAACTATTCGATACGAACCGTGTAACTAGCGCCCTCTATGAGAGTCAGATATAAATACAAATGCATGCGATGTGTCAGATTACAAGAAACATCCATACACAATTTCATCACAATGTTGCCAGTAGTTTCGACATAATCTTGAAAAATGTGTAAAAAAATCATTTTTTCAACACCTTGTATCTTGATAACGGATGCCGTAACGAAATTTTTTTACTGAGTAAACCCAACTTATTTTGCAGTGTTCTACCTACCCTAGTAAGGGGGGTCAGGTTTTTATGAAACACCCTGTATAACTATAAGATGTCGATGAATACTAATTAAACAAAGTCTCAGAAAGTCACTATAATAAGCGCTAATCAGAATAGGAATTGAATAATGCAAATGTATCTTGTTTAGAAAGTATCTGATGAGTAAAGACCAGGCGCTAGGGGGGGGGGGGGTGAGCGCCCCCCCTTGCCTCCCCCTCCGGACGCCCCTGAGTAGAGGCCTAACTTGAAAATTAGGTGCAGGTCTGCTATTGGTCAATTCTAACCTTGAAAGCGTTTCGAACCAATCATAGTGCTCTTCCTTATTCTTTTGCATTGTTTTGTGACCTTCAGTAGTGGCCTAACTTGAAAACTTTTGTCCGAGGCAAGAAATTTGGAACTGCCGCTTTTTGGGCGAAATA